AATAACCTCTGACTACTTTGTTATTAATAGGTTTTCACCCTCCCCATAATAAGTTTCGCTGCTGATGAGTAAGCCAGATCAACCTGAATTGAAAAAGCATAACAACAATCGGTATATTGAGCAAAGCAACTCCTGGGTGAGTTCTCCAGTCCCAGAGATTGAGGCCAGAGAAGTCACGCACACACAGACTAAAGCAGGGAGACTTTATAGGTTGTAGGTGAGGGGTGATGATGTATCTGCCACAAGCTAGGTTCATCACCAATTACAGTCAAAGCTGAGTGTGTAGGTGGGGACTTGAAGAGCCAACAACTTCAGGAAGGAAGCTGCAATAGCCATCAGGAATGAGGAACTGGGCTTTCTGGTGCCTACCCTTTGCTCAGAGACTCTCTGAGCAGGTGGGGTTTGGAGAGAGAAAGAGAGAAATGGGGCTTTCCAGACCATGCAGGGGCAAGCTGGCGGGTCTAAACTAACGATTATGAGTGCCTATCGTTATGACCACCTTGTAAACAAGTCTTTGTTATAGGAAGTTGTTATGACTAACTTGTTATTCTTACATTCTGCTTCTGTAGCCCCACCAGTTTGCCTGCCAGATCTCCCATTTGGAAACTCCCTACCCCTGAACTATAAAAACTTTGTCTTCCTTACATCCAATGCTGACTCTCAAACCCCACCTTAGGTGGAGGCAGCCTGTATACATAAATAAAAATGCTTGCTTTAATTAAGTTAGCTATGATGATTTGGGTCAGTGGTCTTTCTCCTCAAATCTTTGGGACAGATAGTATAAAAAATTGATCTAGGTGTGAGCTCCAAAGGAAACTCCAATTCTCCAAACTCCAAGAGGCAGAAATGAGCTTAATTTTGACTATTTCTGGTGGTTAGATAAAAGCCAGCATTCCTCAGGAACTTGTGAAGCTGGTTCCCCTCTACAAAAAGGGAGTCATTTCCCTCACCTCTGGCAGAAGGGACATATGGCTGCCTGTGCTGCCTATTAGCATATCAAAGCTCATGTTGACCTTCAGGCTCCCTTAGTTACACATTTTAAAGTCCACAAAGTCCATGATTCTCCCTGAACTCAAATCAAAGATAGCCCTGGCCATGTTCAGTCTACTTTTCCTCTCTGCTTTGGACTCTTCCAGATGCCTCTGACTGTTCTCTCTCTTAAATCTACAGTTAAAAAAAATAATCTTTTCCTTAACTATATCATGGAGTGGTCATGTTGTCAGTTTATACACCAGGAACCATTGCAAATATTTTATCATACCAGCTTTGTCACAGATTATGAAGAGTAAATTGCAGGGCTGGAAAGATGACTCAGCAGTTATGAGCACTGGCTGCTCTTCCAGAGGACCTGGGTTCAATTCCCAGCACTTACATGGCAGCTCACAAAGGGCATGTGCTACCACTGTCTGTAACTCCAGTTCCAGGGGATCTGACACTGTCATATAGATATACGTGCAGGCAAGACACCAATGCACATGATATAAAAATAAATAAATAAATAAGAAAAGTAGATTACACAATGAGAACAGTTCTCAAAATACAGGAGCATAGAGTTCAGGGTTATTTTTTTTTTTTTTTTTTTTACTTTTTAGCTAAAATTGCAGTGTCTATCTTAAATGTGTATTTGCTTTGTTTTGACAAGTGCACACATCTGTGTTACTCATAGTCTATTATGGTCACCCCAGAAAATTCCTACATTTTCCTTCTTAGCTCCCACACTTCTCCAAGAGTATTGTGTTCCTACAAATAAATCTTGCCTGGAGATCAGAGGGCAGAGTTAGCCACTAGTTAATTATAGAGGCCAGGCAGTGGTGGCACATGCCTTTAATCCCAGCACTCAGGAGGTGGGGACAGGAATATAAGGTGAGTGGAGACAGGATCTCTGGGTCTATTCAGTCTGGGGATTTGTAGAGACAGCATCTCCTTCATTTTAGTCTGAGATTTCATTAGGGGTAAGAAGTCTCTCTGTGGCTGCTCCTTTGCTTCTCTGATCTTTCAGCATTCACCTTGATGTCTGACTCCGGGTTTTTATTGTAGGTGTAATTCTGAATGGTTTTATTAAATAAGAAACACAGAGCCAAATGTCGAGTTAAGAGCCCAAGAGGTCAGAGCAGCAGCCAAGAGCTAAGACCAAGACCTCCTTCTTACCTGTTGCTGTCGTCCTTCCCCTCAGAAAGAGACCTACTTCCTGTGTGTCTGTCTTTTTATTGACTTTCTGTTCTGTCTTCTCATTGGTTGTAAACCCAACCACATGACCTCCTTGTCACTGCCTGTCTATACAGACCTCCAGGTCTCTAATGTTGGTATTGAGATTAAAGGCGTGTGTCTCCATGCTGGTGGTGTCCTTGAACACACAGAGATCTGCCTGTCATGGGATCGGGATTAAGGGCATGTGCTACCACTGCCAGATTTCTGCTAAATGGCTTGCTATTAGCTCTGACCCCTAGGCAACTTCATTAACATACAAATAAAATCACATTTCAGCACAAATAAAATATCACCATATTTTATTGTTAAGATTAGTTAGGACTGAGCGTCATACTACTGCTCACCCCCTCACACACATATTTTGTGAGAACTAGAACTTAATATGGTTCAAACCAAACAGTAAGTGAATGTTTTCTTTCAGTATATTGCTTTACATTTATTTATATTTCTATTTACACTTCTGTTTCTACAATATTATGTTTTACATTTATTTATTTATTTATTTATTTATTTATTTATTTATTTATTTATTTATTTAGTGTATATTTGGATGGGTACCTGTTGGTTAAGCGGCAGCGTTTGTGGCTGGCCGCTGCCAGCAGTGGCCATGCTGAAGGAGGAGAGTGCTGGAGGAGAGTCATGAGCCATAGTTACCTTTCTAGAGCTTTATTGGGAGAGAGAGAGAAGACTGCACGGAGGGGGAATACGGAAGGAGAGAGTTCGAAAAGAGAGAACGCACAGAGCTTTTTAGGCTGGGACGTTGTCGAAGGCTGGTGACATAATTAAGGACATAATCCTTACAGTACCATGGCTTGAGTATGGAAGTTCGAAGACAAATTGAGGGAATTGGTTCTTTCCTGAATTTTTGTTTTGTTGTTTTTTTTCGAGACAGGGTTTCTCTGTGTAGTTTTGGTGCCTCTCCTAGATCTTGATCTATAGACCAAGCTGGCCTCGAACTCACAGAGATCGCCTGCCTCTGCCTCCGGAGTGCTGGCATTAAAGCAGTATACTACCACTGCCCAGCTCTTTCCTGAATTTTAAACTCAGGTCATCAGGCTTAGCAGCAAGTTCTATAACCCTTTGAGTCATCTTGGGCGCCCCAGCATAATACTGTAAAGATGTATCAGTGCTATTGGTTTGCTTAGTAATGTTCCTGTGATATGACTATTGTTTTTTTTTTCTTTCTATCTATTTTTTTCGTTTGTTTTTAAATGGTTTTATAGATCCAATACAGGACCGTGTGCATGCTGATCAGATGCTTTCCCACACAGCCACAACTCTGTTCATTTTCTATTCTTGTTTCAAGGGAAACAGGGTGGTTTCCAGTATTTTGGCTATATGAACATTCATATACAGCATTTTGTTCTAATGAATACATGTCCTCAATACTTAAGAAGCACTTAGTATGTTACAGATACTTCTAGATACTAGAATTATAAACAAATATGTATATCCTTCCCCACATCCCATATATAGGTGTGTATGTATATATACACTCTTAATCTGTATATATCCTCCACTTATACATGGAAACATGCAAAGAATGTGTCAAAATGAAGGATAATTGGCAGAGAAGTAAAATAAGACATGATATTTGACCAAACAGGAAAATAAACCTTGCAGGTTAAGGATTCTGTTTGCAGTTAAGACAGTTAAGAATAAGTTCCTGTTTGTCCTGCACAGATTAAGTTTTCTCTTGTAGTTAAAGAATAAATTCCTGTTTCTTAGATCTTGTGACCACATTCACATGATGTATAGCCTTATCCTTGTTCTCCCGTTTCATTGTATTTTTCTAACAATGTGTAACTGCCAACTCTCTGGCCCCCGGGAACATCTTATCTCTCCTATAAAAAGGACCACAAGAAGCTATCTTCACCCTTCTCTCCTGTTCTCCAGATTCCCTAGCCCTGTCCATGTCCAGCCCACTCCTTTTTCTCTCTGCTCTAGACTCTTCCAGATGGCTCTGAATATTTTCTCTTTTATTCACAGTAAAAACCTTCCCCCTAATGGATCAGTGGTTTCAGGGGTTTCTTTACCTCACCCCCTTGCCAACACAATCAACTGTTCTTTTATTGTATTGTTTACTTCTCCTGTTTTGCTACTGATGTCCACATGTAATTTTCTCAGTGACTGTGGTCTCTATGGAGGTCTGTTTAATTCATGTTACAGAGGCTTGGTATAAAGGGCGAACTTACTATTTTTTCATCCACGTGAACAGTAAACATTCAGAATAGTTTACACTGCAACATGTTCCTTTAATTCCTTTTAGTTTTGGTTTATGATACAGCAAGGTGAAGGCTGAGTTCAGAAGGATCATTAAGTTTGAGGACTGTCCTGGCTTCTTAGAAATGTTGTGTATCAAAAAACAAAACAATAACAACAACAGCAACAACAACAACAAAAAAACCAATAATGATGATGATGAAATTCAGTCTTAAGCCTCAAGAGATGGCTTAGTAGGGAAAAGGCGTTTGCCACCAGGCCCAAAGTCACCCTGGGAGTTACACAGTAGCACCAACTCTAGAAAGTTGTCCTTTGACTAGCAGACAGGCACTCATACTCAAAATAAATACAACTTACGTATTTACTTATTATTACTTTATTTTTTGGTTTTTCAAGGCAGGGTTTCTCTGTGTAGTCCTGCCTGTCCTGGAACCCTCTTTCTCTGTGGACCAGGCTGACCTCGAACTCAGAGATCCGTTTGCCTTTGCCTCCGGAGTGCTGGGATTAAAGGCGTGCGCCATTACGCCCGGCACATACAATTTTAAAAGAGAATTACTGTTGCCGCTTACCTGTTTTTATCTGGACAAGGTGCGGAAAGGCGATTTCAAGGCAATTTCACGAGCTCAATTTTAGAAGTGCACGGAACAGAATTAAGGGAAATGAGAGGCGTTTGCACGTTGCTCTTGGCCATCCCGCAGCAGTAGCTGGGCGGTGGTGGCCCACGCCTTTAATCCCAGCACTCGGGAGGCAGAGGCAGGTGGATCTCTGTGAGTTCGAGGCTAGCCTGGTCTACAGAGTGAGATCCAGGAAAGGCGCAAAGCTACACAGAGAAACCCTGTCTCGAAAAACCAAAAAAAAAAAAAAAAAAAGTAACGCATTTAAGTAGAGGTAACCACGCAGGACATTCCGAGCCGCAGACCACCGCGCTGGACACCCGCTCTCCACGCGGCTTTAAACAACTCCATGGCAACCGCAGCCCTCCACCTTGACAGGCAGCCGTGCGCGCACGCGCGGCTCCGGTTCCCGGGGCTGTCCGAAACGCTCCTCCGGGGGCCGAGCCATTTCCCACAATGCCGCGTTCCGGAAGTTGCCCCCCCTTCCTGAAAGGTGACTGGTTCGGCGGTGTGGCTCTCTCTAGTCGTCACCAGGAGGAAGCGGAGCTGGCAGGCGGCTCCGGGCCAGTCGCGGAAGGCAGTTATGGGCGCCGTCGTCCCGGGTGAGGAGGACTGGTCGTCGCCGTTCGCCCGGTCCGTCCGCCACGCCGCTCTCAGCGGCTCCCCGGGGCCGCCGGCGCCGCCGCCTCATTGGCTGCGAGTGCTGTCAGTTCCCGGGGGCGGCCGGGGACTCGCGGCGCCGCCGCCCGGGGCCCTGGGTCCCCAAGCCGGCCCCGTGGTCACCGGGCAGTTGGTAGGGGCCGGCGGGCGCCGGGAAGGTGGCCGGGGGCCGGGGGGACGGACGGGGAGGGCTGGCGTGCGAGCGATCGGGCGATCGAGCGCCCGGTGACACCCTGTGGGTTGTAAGCGCGGCTGGCGCTGTCACCCGTGGGTGACAGCGTTTGCCCACACTCGAAAGCCACGTTTTTGTAGACAGACCGGCCGACAAGGGTTTCCCCACGCGCTTGGGCTGGCGCAGCAGAGGCAGAGGAGGAGAGCGAGCAGTCGGCTCCCCTATGCGAGGGCGCGAGAGTAGTTCTGATTTCAGTGATTTCAGCATGGAGTCGCGAGCGAGTCATTGGTCCACGATGCCCGTTCTTCTCTGAAAGCTCACCTGATCGTAGCCCGGCAGAGGACTAATGCTTTCTAGCACCCTTTCCCACGACCCGACAGTCGTCTTCGTAGCTGTCAGAGTTTTACTGCCGCTCCTTCGGGAGCATCGACTGACTGACTCGTCAGGTCCACTGCTTGCCGCAATTAAAAACTGTCTTTCAAGTTTTCCTTTGCTGACTCAAAGGAAACCAGATTTTCTGGTGCTGCTTTCACAACTGTAGGCTCACGACTTAATTATTTGTCTCCCTTTTTCCTTTTCACCAGAAGTCGGGCCTTCTCTTCTCAGGTTCTATTCGTGGTTTGTTGTTGTTTTGTTTAGTTTTTTTTTTTTTTTTTTTTTTTTTTTTTTAAAGATAGCCTCGCTGTGTAGCTCTGGCTGGCCTGGAACTTTCTAACTGCCTGCTTTGCCTTAGGAGTGCTGTGATTAAAGGTGTGTGCCATCATGCCCAGGCTTAGATACTATGATGTATTAACGCAGGAAGTTTTTCTTGAGGACCTACTATGTATTGACAACACAGAAGTGCTGCCCAGAACCGGTTCTATCTCCCCAAATTTCACATTGCAAAGAGAAAAACAGCATGTTCAGATTATAGATTTGAAAAGCAGTTAACTGCAGTGGAGAAACGGGTAAAGGAACAAGATAATGCATGTTTTGTTTTGTTTTGGAGACAGGGTTTCTCTGTGTAACTTTGGAACACGTCCTGGAACTTGCTCTGTAGACAAGGCTGGCCTCAAACTCGCAGAGATCACCTGCCTCTGCCTCCCGAGTGCTGGGATGAAAGGCGTGTGCCCCCTCCCCTTTTCTAAAAGCTGTTACTGAAGTGATGTGGACTAGAAAGTACTGAAGAGATGATCTTGGTGGAAAGGAAAAGGAGTTGTGGTCTCAGAACCCAAAGAACTGAATTGTAGCAACTCTGCTACCTTGGGTTCTTCACCATTTTGTTTCTGAATTTCTTCCTTTAGTGAATATCCTCATTTAAAATATTATTGTGAAAATCAGATATGATGGTTTTGGAAGGGCACTGTCTGATTAGAATTCATTAATTGTATAAGAGTCAGGATTGCTAGCGTATTGGGGCCAAATTAAAAGGGACAAGTACCAGAGTATAAACTTGGACATTTTGGCTTTTTCTTTCTTTCTTTTTTTTTTTTTTAATTTTTTTTAAATCTTTTTTTTTTTTGGTTTTTCGAGACAGGGTTTCTCTGTGTAGCTTTGCGCCTTTCCTGGAACTCACTTGGTAGACCAGGCTGGCCTTGAACTCACAGAGATCC